TTATGACTTGCTGCTGGGGGCACTGGTGGGCATGCCCCCCTGCGAGGGTACTCTGGCAACATCGGTCCCATTAGAGATGCACTTGCCCTTTGACTCAGCGGTTCCACCTCTAGCACTCACCCTATGTGTGAACAGAATCATGTGCTAAAGGAAGAACTGCAAAGTTATCCGTGGCAACATTGTTTAAAAGCAAAATATTGCAAGCAACTTCAATATCCCTCTATAGAGAATTGTTTGGGCACATTTTGGATAGTAAACATTAGTTTAAAAAAAAAAGAATAAAGAAATGCTTCATGAATCATGTTGAAAGATGTCTACAATACCCTGTTAACTGTCAACAACAAGACAGGGAACTCTGTATTGTGTATTATCAATCTAGTAGAAAGAGTTGGGTGGGGGAGAACATATTTTCATTGGCTGGCTGGTTGGTGCTAAAAAAAAGTCTCTGAAACATTCCCAACAAATAAACAACAGTGGCTACCTCCCTGGGGTGAGGATAAGAACTGAGCAGGTGAGATGGAACACTTTTTACCACATAACGTTTTATATTTGTTATTTTTTTGAACCCCTACAATGCATTATTTATTTATTTTTTCCATCAAAAACTAGAACTAAGATGAGAAATCCCAAAGTCTAAAAGTCTCATGTAGGTAAGAATTTGACTTTAGTGAAATTACAAGAAGAGAACATTCCATATATCATCTTTTTTTTTTAATTTTTTATTGTGGGTTGTTCAAAACATTACAAATTTCTTGACATATCATATTCCACACTTTGATTCAAGTGGGTTATGAACTCCCACCTTCACCCCATACACAGATTGCAGAATCACATCAGTTACACATCCATTGATTTACATATTGCCATACTAGTGTCTGTTGTGCTCCGCACAATGCATTATTTATTTGAAAAGCTAAATAAATAAAACCTTCCCCTCTGTGAAGGGGATATAGGCAATGTCCCTCTCTCTCTCTCCCTTCCTCTTGTCCCCAGAGCAGCTTGGCTCCTGCTGCACTGAGGAATGAGCACGTGAGGTTGTCTTGGTTTCACAGAGCCTGCTGTCGACTGGGCTGAGTCCCTGAGGGTCTCAGGACTTGCTCAGACCTGTCCAGTGAGGTCAAGGGTAATCCTAGAGCCGGAAACCCAGGGCTGCAGCAGAAACCCTACTCCAGGGGTGGAGGCCTTTCTGGAGAGTCTCTGAGGGCATCCACCATGTCTGCATTCCCGAGGGGCTGAGAGAGAGTCCAGGGCCAGCTGGCCAGGATGACCAGGCTTTGAGGAAATTTCTGAACTCACCTCTGCCTTCTCTATCCCTGATCACCCTCCAGGCCTGGTGAGTTCAGGCAGGATAACCCAACCAAGGAGGGGCAGAGACCTGGCAAAGAAAGTGGCAGGAAATGGCTGCCCCGAAGGCCTGGCTCTTGACTGGCCTATGACAGAAGCAAGGCTGAAGCTGGACACCAGAGTCCATTTTTTAACCCCCTGGGGGACACTTCACACTGCTCATTTATTTCTTCATGAGGACTTCTATCCCCCTCCCCAGGGGCTGGAGGGCAGTGCATAGCACCCACGCTGTGTGTTGACAGTAATGACCGGCATGTGCCATGGGCCACCCTGGGCCTGGGCAGGGAAGGACTTGTCAGAATGCTCTCTGCCTCCTCTGTGATCACTGAGCACCTACTGTGACCCCCGTACCCTCCTGGGGTGCCCCTGGGCATCCCAGAGCTCCACGGTTCCTCCTGTCAGGCCCCTCCACACATCGCTGCACATGATCACAACCCTCGCCCACTAGCCTCTAAGTGCTTTTTGCAGCTAAATTGTATTCACAAGAACGCGGCCTCCTGGGAGTCACAGATCTCTGTTGTGCCTTCTCGTGTTCTCAGAGCCTCCAGCACAGCCTAGAACACACAGCAAGTCTTGCGATAAATGCTTGCTGGTGGCCTGCCAGTACCCAAGCTAAAAGTGGGGCTGCATTAAGAGAGGTCAAGGCTTAGCTGCGGCTGTGCCCTCCAACTGTCACACTCAACCTAAAAGCTAGTGTGCAAGGTCAGCGTCAAGGCCCTAGGAGCTGGACTCCACCCTGACCCACCTCTACCCTACTGGCTGCTGACCCCCTTACTCACTCCACTCCAGGGACAGTTCCCACCTTCCTACCCTCCAAGAGGAAGGGCCTCAGTCCCACCTCAGACCCGTAGCACTGATGGGCAAACCCCCACACCCCTGAACCGTTCTTGCCCTAGAACTCCAGGGGCTCACCTTCTTGCTTCTTTGCTGGGCCTCTGCTCAAAGACCACCTTCTTCACACATCCATCCTCCCTGCCCTATTACAAATCACTCCCCAACCTCCCATGCTCCCACACCTTTTCCCTGCTTTATTCTTCTCCATCCTTATCACTACTTTTAAAACTCTATAGTTTTCCTGTTTATTTTATAGTTGTATCCTCCAACAACAGATTTTCCAACAACAGAGATTTTTGTATTGTGCTCAATGCTGTACAGTAAGCATAGAACAGTGCCTGGCACATAATAGGTGGTTAATAATTATTTACTGAGTGCACCAATAAATGTACAGACTAGTTAATTTAGCTGTAGCTCTTGCTCCAAGTTAATTCAACTAAAATGGCATAGATTAGACATCATTTATGCATGTGAATGAAAATCACTTCCATATATTTCTCTGTGGTCTCATAGAGAGAATTTCATTTTATTTTAGTCTCACAGATCACCTTAGTGGGTAAATGGGGCAGGAACTGTAAATATCCTCATTTCACAGAGGTGAAAAGTAAAGACTCAAGAGAGGTGAGATTTTCCCAGAACCTTCAGCTAGTTACTAGCAGAACTGGGGCACTGGGATTTTTTGTCACTGATTCTGGACTTCATTTATGTAGCGGTAGTGAGGTGTGATACCTTTCCTCACTCATAAGGGATGCACTGACATTCCTATCACAAAACACAATTTAACAAACAAAAGCATAACTGACGTAGTTAACCAAAGTTTCACCTAACATGAAAGACTCCAGAAATGAAGATCCAAACACTCAAGAAAAAAAGTCTTATGTTTACTCTTGTTGACCTAGCGGAAAATTAACCTAACTGAGAGCAAAGAAAATTAGGACTGCAATGAGGGAGAAACAGATTCAAGCAGTCTTGAAAAGGTGCTTCAGGGCTGGGGATGTGCCTCACGCATGTAGGCACTGGGTTCCATCCTCAGCACCACATAAAAATAAATAAACACAATAAAGATATTGTATAATTTAAAAATATATTTAAAAAAAAGAAAAGGATGGATAATTACATCATTTCTTAGTCAGGAGTTTTGACTGGTTGGGTTGGATTGGCTGGCAAGGGTTAAGCTCTTTTATAAGAAGGGATTGGGTGTTTGTTAGGTAGTTTGGAGAAAGGGGTTCATTGTATAGAAGGTCAGCAGGGATTAACTGTGTTTCAAAGGTCAACTGGAATCTGGGGTGGGTGTGTCTGCAGCCCCATTCAAAGGTTCACCCTGGATCCCATCTAAGACTTGACTAACAGTGACCGCTGGACTCCATTTTATGTGCTGTAAACTAATGCTACTCCACTTTGATATTTTTACTTGACAGTTTCAATGAAGAGTGGACAGTGCAGGAGACAACTTTATTGACTGAAGGTAAGACCTCAGGGAATGGACTGGGCCGGTGAGCAGCAAGGCCTGTCTGCTCCAATTCTTCTTGGCCACTCTATGGAGTGGTCCTTCCTAGTAGGAATGTGACTGAGCCCTTCTGGAATGAAGTCCTGTGATCTATCAGAAAAGGTGGATGGAAGAACTTCTTTATGGCCAGCTCTTACACAGAAAGGCAGAAGGAAGACGATAGTAATATCTCTAGGTTTTGAAGGCTGCTTTTGGGGAAAACAGGTTCCAGTTTCTACCACCTGTCTGTGGAGCAGAGGGGAGCAGAAGACAGACAGCCAGGAGAACAGACTGCCTGCCCCAAAACAGCCTCAGAGTTCAAGTACTCAGCATGCCATGTGCCCTACTTCCCTGGATGCCTTCCTGAACCCCAAACCTTAGTGTAGGGCTTTGGGTTGTTTGTGGGCCCTTCTTCCTCTTCGATTCTAGGGACTCTTCCTGAAACTTCCTACTTTGCTACAAGAAGAAACACCTGTAATTTTCCCTTTCCTGCCTCCTGGATAGCGGTCCATCTTCCCCAAGCCCTAAACTGGCCTGGTCACTGCAATTCCCTTTTGGCAGAAGTCTGTGCTCTAATGTTTGGATTGTGTCCCCAGGTTCCTCCACATTGCAAGGAGCAGAAACAGGTCTGGATGCCCGGAAGTCCTGGGGATTTATCGCCACAATTGAGGTGTAACGGATTAAGGGAGTGAAGGGAAGGATTTGAGGCACCTCCGTCTCCCTGCCTAGTTCTCCACTGAGAATCCCCACCCCCCACCCTCTCAGGAGCAAAGGGTCCCTCCTCTGTAGCCTTGGAATTTTCTGTTCCTCTCTGAATCATAACACACCAATCTGTTTCATTGGGCTGGCGGCTGGGGGGCCCCTCCTTACCCTGTTTCCGCACCTTTGGTAACTCAACCCTTTTCTTTTTAGGTCCCACCAGCCACTTCTAAAAGGGGATCATAGTTCAAGGGTGGGTAGATTAGGAAGGTGCCCCGCTTGTGCATTCTCCCCACACACGGAGTTGCAAAGCCCAGAAGAGGAACAATTCCAGGCGGGATTTGTAGCTTGGGTGGGCGCGGTGGGGGCTGGGGATGGTGGTCTGCAACGCGCACACACCACAAGGCAGGGATCGTCCACCCACCACACGCGGTCCCCGCGGCGATTACAGGCATCGCCTGCTTTCCTCTGATTTGCTGAAATAGCTAGCCCTCGCAAGAGATGGGGAGAACATGGGCGACGGCGACTCGCGGCACGGCGTCCCGTGGACAGGCGCCGAGACCCGGGGTGATGGGGTGGGGGGGTTTGATTGCAGCTGCGCCGCGAGCGGGCTCTGCCGGGCGGCGGGCTGCGCGGCGCTGAGCGCTCCCTTCCTCCAGGGGCCGCCGAGGGGCCGCGCCGAGCGCATGGAATTTTCCACCGCCCAGCCAGCCTGCAGAGTCGCGTCTCATTGGCGGAGCGGGGGCGCCTGTCCCCGCGTGGGTGCGGAGATGAGATTAGCCAGGGAGCCCTCCTCAGTGGGCTTTGCGAGGTTCTGATTAATCAGGTCAGCGGGGCCAGGGAGGGGAGGGGAGGGACGGTGGGAACCGAGCTTGTTTTCTAACCCAGCCCTGCAAAGCCTCTCAGGCCGCCTGGCTACAAAGAAAATGCACCAGTAAGCAGGGAGAAGTAGGGGCAGACCTTAGAAATTGCCTCTTCGTGGTAGAATTCCCCTGGAAACCGCTGAAAAATAAGCTTTGCATTGCTAAAGCCTTCCCCTCCCCCACCTCCTCTTAATCTCCCCCACTCCCCAAATAGGCTGGGGCTGACCGCAGACCCACACTCTCCCAGGCCTTGACATCTTGATGTTTAACCCCTTAAGTACCCACTGCCGGCAACACATTCCCTTTCTGCAGTGACTTTCACAGACTCTCAGCCAAACCAGACCTTCAGAATCAAATTGCACCCCGACCCCTGGTCCATCAAGAAATGCAGCCTGTGAAAGACAGTTGGAACGAGCGAGCGAGGGAGAGTGATCTTTTTGTCCGTGGCAGAATCTGTGTGAAATCTCCACAAGGACATTAAAAATGTGTGGCAAGACAGGAACAGTGTTCACCAGCAGGCTCGAATCCTGTTGGCTTGATGGGGTGTATGCATGCGCCAGTCCTGTTGATTTACGATTGAAAACAGCCCCTGGTTTTATTTCTCCTGGGGTTTCTGGCCTTAGGAAGCTCTTTTCTGAAGTTATTGTTAAATTCTCCCTAAGGGCTGGCTCTGGCCCTCAAGACTTGCTTGGAGAGAGAAAGAGTGCTGTCCCCCAGGTCAGGGTTTCAGAATGGCTGCAGGATGCGGCTGGCTCCCAGGACTGCTGTCCCTTGCCAATTTGGGCACCTCATAATTCAAGTCTTTTGCTTTTAAAATGAGGCTAAAAGGTTCCTCATAAAGTTAAGTGGAGACTAATTCTGTGGCCCAGAAATTCTACTCCGAGGTATGTACCCTCAAGAACTGAAAACAGATACCTAGGATGGGTAGATCCTAGTATTACTAATGTTCAAGACAACACTATCCACAGTAGCCCAAGGCAGGAAGTAACCTGATTGTCCATCCAGAGATGAATGGGTAGCAAAATGGGGGATGTCTATACAATGGGATATGGCTCACCACCACCACTCCAAAAAAAGAAAAAAATGAAGGGAATTCTGAGCTGGGGAACTCAGTGGTAGAGAAGCACTATCCCTGCATGTGCCGGGCCCTGGATTCAACCTCCAACACCACGCAAAAATAGGGAAATTCTGATATGGATGAACCTCAGGGACAGACTGAGTGGAAAAGCCAGACACAAAAGGCCCTACGTTGTATGGATCCCTTTATAGGATACATCCAGATAGGCAAAGCCCCAGAGACAGAGCCATAGCTGGTGATTTCAAGGAACTGGGGGAGGGAGGAGGAGGAATTAGTGCTTGATGTGCACAGGGCTTCCTTCTGGGGTGATTTGGCACTAGAGAGAGGCTATGGTTACACACCTTTATGAATGAACTGTCATTGGATCGTACACTTTAAAATGGTTAATCTTATGCAATGTGAAATTTGCCTCAACAAAAAAATTTAATGAGACTAATAATAAAAATCCCCAAAGATTCAATGTGATTATCCAAATAGAGATGTTTGATCAAGTGAAAAAGCCTATCTTTTAAGTCCCTTTATGTTATTTACTAGAATGAATGATTATCTCTTTTCAAATTTTTCAGTTAAAACTCAGGCAACTGGAGGCCCATGCAGCTCTGGCTGTAGCATCAACCAGCGATGGAACATTATACAGTCCTGAGGGTCCTGTGATCTGTAAGAAGGAGAGACTCCGCGCTGTTGATCTGACACCCTGCACCAGAGTGCCCCACGGCAATCTGTCCTTCAGGCAGAAGGGAGGTACCATGGAGACCACTGGAAACTCTGGATGGCAGGATTAGGTGTGGAAGAACTTCAATACAGGATCTCCAAAGGAAAGAACCACTCAACGCATACCAGGGTGGACTGCCGCGGCCGGAGCCAGGCTGCAGAGGCCAGAGTTTATCTCGGCTTCTACATGGGGGACCTTGGGCCAAGGCTTTTGCCAACAGTCAGGGGTTTGTTTGTTTGGTTGGTTTTGCTTTTTGTCTTTTGTTTTTGTACTGGGGATTGAACCCAGGAGCACCCGACCACTGAGCCACACCCCCAGCCTTTTTTATATTTTTAGATAGGCTCTCACTGAGTTGCTTAGGACCTTGATAAGTTGCTGAGGCTGGCTTTGAACTTGCCATCCTCCTGCCTCAGCCTCCCAAGTCGCTGGGATTACAGGCATGCATCATTGTGCCCTGAAAGAGTCAGTTTCCTTCTCTAACAAATGTGATGCATTGAAGTACCTACTGCATAGGATTGCTGTCAGGATTGAGTTAACTCATGCATGTGCCAGAAACAGAGTATGTACTCAACAAACTCTAGTTGGTGTTACTAAGGAAGACGTAAACAATGGAAAGAAATGGAGTGGTTTGTGCTTTGTTGGGGAGGGGGATGTGAGATGATGAAAACAGGGGTCACTGAGAGCATTTAAAGCAAAGCAGGATTGCTGTGAAGTTGTTTAAAGTACTGTGGAGAACTACAGGGTGGGATGAGATAGGGGACTCTGGGTGAGAGGAGAGTGACAAGAAAAAGGAAAGAGGATCAAAAAGAATATTCTGAAAAAAGCAAAGAGGAGCTGCCAGGTATTGGAAGTGGCTCAGAAGTGGGAATGACATGAAAATTCGGGATTCCCCATTAGACTGTGGAAAAGCCTTCTTTTGTTGTAACAGTGAAAAGGGGCTCTGAAATTTTGTGCCTCGCAACAGGGCACTTGGAAAATCCAGCTAAGTAGAATTGACAGCGCTGAACAGGCTTCCTCAGAGGGGTCCACTAATGAACTAAGCTCAATAGAGACCTCTGTGCAGGTGTCCCCATGGGCTTGCTTAGTTCCCACCTGAGTTGAAAGTCCCATCAAGGGACTGAACCTTTCTGCAAAAATCAGCCTGACGCTGGCAGCCTTCAGCAGCAGAAGGGAGGGAGGGAAGAATTCGATGGGAACTAGGACCTTCTGTGGTCTCCAGGTGAAAACCATGCTCACCCTTTGTGATGTCCACCTGCGTCATTCTTATCTCACCACTTCTCTGTAACAAGAGCCCCGTCCCCTCCTCAGTACCCTCTGCTGGTTTGTGATGTGCCCACGTGAGAACCAAGGGGCATCCCAAATGGAGGGATGTGATGCAGTCCCCTATGTGGGCAGCCTGTGTCCCCAGAGTCAGTTGTCAAGGAGAGGAAGGGACGTGTGGGCCCTCCTGGCCAACTCAGGCTGTCCTCAGTCTTGCACATGCACATGCAGTCATTCCTCAGTGTCCTTGGGGGATGGACTTGGGGACCCGCTCCTGCACCAAAATCCCCAGATGCTCAGGTTTCTTATATTAAAATGGCATGATAATTATGCATAACCTATGAATATAGTTATGTATAACCTATGAACAGCCCCCGCATGCTTTAAATCATCTCTTGATTACTCATAATACCTGTTACAGTAGAACTGCTGTGTAATAGTTGTTTACCATATTGTTTGGGGAATAATGACAAGAAAAAAAAATCTGTACATGTTCAGTATAGACACATTTTTCTTTTCCTGAACGTTTCTGATCTACAGTTGATTAAATCCAAAGATGGGAAACTCAAATATGGAAGGCCAACTGCATATGGAGCTGGTATCTGATGAAAGATTGAATATAAAAAAAAAGAAGTGTCTTCTACTTGAAACCACGGTTCTACATGATTATTTTGTGTGTGTGGTACATTCCTGTCCCTCCACACTCCCTCTCCACTCCTCCAAGGCCAACACAGGTAAATCCTTCACCTTGGGTGGCAGGAAACACAGAGTAAACTGTGCTAAATCAATTGTATTGTTTGCTTAGAGTTAGAACTGATTTCAGGTGAATCCTTATATTTTAATATAAGTAATACATGTTTATAGTAGGTTTTCTGTTGGGTTTTGGTTTTTTGGGGAGGGAGGTTGTTTGGTTTTGGTACTGAGGGTTGAACCCAGGGTCTTAAGCATGCTAAGCGCACCACTGAGCTACATTCTCAGCCCTGAAATTGTTCAGAATATAATTAGGAAGAAATTAGATAAAATTTAAGCAACCCAATCTAGGTATTCAGGAATTGATACTATTAAAATTTTAAATTTCAATTTACATGGCTTTCATATATATATATATATATATATATATATATATATATATATATACACACACACACACACACACACAAGGAATGGGGGAAGGCAGTTAAGACCAGTGGGCCCACCTGCAGGTGGAGAGAGCCTGGGAGGTGGATGCTGAATGTCTCGATGTAGAAAATGAGTAGAAATCACGACTCCTTTCCTAGCCGGTGCTCCCCAGCCTGGTCCAGAACAGCCCGCCCCACAGAAGATGGTGCATCCTCCTGGTTCTTGGTGGGAAGAGGCAGTCCCCGCCCCCTGTAGGATTGTGGTATGAGCAAAGCAGGCCTTTGCAGCATGGAAAGCACCTCGTGGGTCCAAGGTGGGCTCGCTGTGCAGATGGCATCCATTCTTAGGGCACCAGCTACAGCAGCAGTGGCTGGGACTGTCCTCAGAGACCACTGCAGGTGGTGGAAACCATAAACCAATGGGTCCATGTTCCCAACAGTAAACCTACAGCTGCTCAGAGATGGCTGGGAAGACTGGGAAGGAAGGTGCTGCTGTCACATAAATGGGGACAGGACCACCAGCCAGGACAATTTGGTAATTACTATGAATGTGACTTCACATTTTGCAAAGTCTGGGAAGTTAATATCTATACGTGTTTTAAAATATGAAAATGGATCATACCGTAGTTTGGTTAAGTAAGTTATTTGCTTTAACATGATCACATAAACTTTTTTTCTGTAGGTAGATAATCGTAATGGTTTTCAAACTATGTTCTATAGTTTTACCCAGTTCTTGAGGCCTGAAAGGTGGTTTCTGAGCTTTCCCAAGGGAAAGAGTTAATTTCGCAAGGTAGAAAGAGAAGAATCTGTGTTCTCACCATCTAGTATACCCAGAATAGAATACTTTCAATAGTACCGTCTACTGGGATTCCGTGAAAGACTGAATAGAAAAGGGATGTGTCCTCTATGAGAAGTAGTTGAAACCACAGTTCTACATGATTTTTAAATATTGTATAGTGTTTCATTGTGTGGATAAAGGATAATTTATTCATCAAGCCCCTACTTTTGGACATTCGGTTTATTTATAAGTTAGGAGTTATGTTCAGCTGCAAATATCAAACTCCTAAAAGACAATATCTTAGGTAAATGAGGGTTTTATTTTTTTTTTTAATTTTTTTTATTGGTTGTTCAAAACATTATAAAGCTCTTGACATATCATATTTCATACATTAGATTCAAGTTGGTTATGAACTCCCAATTTTACCCCAAATACAGATTGCAGAATCACATCGGTTACACATCCACATTTTTACATAATGCCCTATTAGTAACTGTTGTATTCTGCTACCTTTCCTATCCTCTACTATCTCCCCTCCCCTCCCCTCCCATCTTCTCTCTCTACCCCATCCACTGTAATTCATATCAATGAGGGTTTTATTTTTCTCATGTAAAGAAATATCGGGAAGGAAGTAGTGCTGGCACTGGTTGTGGTCATTCTAACACCCCAGGGAGTTCCAGGCAGAGGCTTAAGTCAGAAGGGAGCTGAACAGATTCACCCCACAAAGCATTTTCCTGGAGTATCCCCCGTGACTTCTGCTTACATCTCATCGGCCACCCACCCCTACCTGCAAAGAGTTCAAAACCCATGTTAGCAGAACACGTTGCCTCTTTTCTACAAAAATGGGGTTCGATTAGTAGAAAAGAAGAGAATATTAGAAAAACAACTAAGGTATTGTCATGAAAATCCTTTTCACCATATCCTTGAAGCTCCCTCACAACCGAAATTTTTCCATACGATTAGATTAAATCATTGAAAGCAAATTGTTCCTTTACAGAGCCGTGAATTGTTCTAAGACTTCTCAAATAAGTTGCCCTTTAGAAATTTACTAATTTACATTCTCGCAAACAGTGTCTAATGAAAAAGAACCTATTTAACAGAACTATTGGTATAATGTCTCTTTATTTTTAAGCTTTGCTAATTTAACAAGCAAATTTTTCATTTTTTCTTAACTGTTTAAAAAAATATTTGTAAGATATGCAAGTTCATATCAGCATGGTGTGTATGCCCTAGAGCAGGGCTTTTAAAATTGCAATGTGTACACAAATAACCTGGGATCTCATTTAAATGCAGATTCTGATGAGACAGGTGGGGGATGCAGCTGAGAATCTGCATTTCATAAGCTCCTGGATGTCACCAGGTACTGCTGTGTCACATTGTGAGTGGCATGGTCCTAGGGATCCCAACAGTGCAATTGTAGCTTTTGTAAATCCCTGGATAAGGTTATGCTAAAGCCTAGAAGATGAGAGGAGGAGGAGGAAAGCAGGAGGAAGAATCCAGAACAAGGCAATATACTGTGAGGACCTCAGAGCGTCTGTGGAACACCCCAGAGAGTTGGGGCCCAAGCACTCTGCTGCAGTTTGAATGTGTTCTTCAAAGTTCACATGTTGGAAAGTTGCTCCCCAATGCATCTGTGTTGAGAGTTGAGACCTTTCGGAGATGGTTAGGTCATTTAGGGTTCTGTCCTCATGAATCGATGATCATTATCTAGGGAGTGGATTGTTATAACAGCCCCTCTTGCTCTCTCTTGTGTGTGCTTTCTTGCTCTTCTGCCTTCTGCCATGGGATTATTACCAGGTTAAGTCAGGGCTGCTTGCCACTTGAGGGCTAATATTTGGGAGACTAGAATTGATGGAAAGGGATCAGATTTGTTCAGGGGCTGGCCCTAAATAAGATGGAGGGCCTCTCATCCCCAAAGGTCCATCTTGGGGAGGTGTCATAGGGAAGGAAAAGTACAGTGAGATAATAGGTAGGAAGACTGTATGCTGAGTGGGGTCTTCACCATCCAGGGCTTTCTGTCTGTCTGTCTTTCTCTCTCTGTCTTTCTCTGTCTCCCCCCGTCTCTCTCTCCTTTCTCTCTCTTTTTCTTCCCTTTAGCCAGATCCTTGTAATCCACTTCAACCTTCTGGGGCTAGTTCCTGTACTTTTTAAAAACCAGACATATTCTCCTGCAAGTTAAACCACACAGCAGTTTACACGCTTGGTGTTGGTTGATACAGAACTAAAGACTAAAATGTGTTAACAAAGATTACCAGACGTTTTGGGTTCCATAGATCAGAAGGAAGATTATTTAGCAGTTAACATCTTTACCATTTAGGTGGGGCTTCTCTTTGGAATTTAGGGTGTCAGACAAAAGGGAGGGGATGGGAAGCTTGCAGAAGGGCCAAGGGAGTGGGGGTGGCAGTAACTCTGCCAAGGACAACTCCCAGAGGAGCAGCTGCTGCTATAGGTGACACAAGAAGA